CTCAGGAAACTACACAAAAATTCTAATAAAGAGCGTGAGAGCGAGGCACACTTTCCTTACCGCTCTGCATACAGCGGCCTTACTAATGTGCTCTGCATCCCTGATGTTATATAGAAAACTACCATTGAAAAATGGTACCGCTCAAATAAATATGCATGTAGATATTGCAAAAAAATCGAAATAATCCTCTCCCGATGTAAATGTAACTCCCTACGAATTAATGCAGCCTCCTCATCTACAGGTTTCCGTATAAAAGGACATGTCGTTTTTGTCACTTTCACAGTGTCTACATGAAAATATGTCCAATGAATGAATGTACCAGCACTGCAAAAAATGCTTTTCTTACTTGGTATTTTTGTCTTGTTGTTTCCAGTCAAACTATCTAAAGATTCTTAAATCAAGATGCATTTTCTACATAAGAAAAATGACATAAGTTATTTAGTCTTTTAAATTTATTTTTCTTATTTTGCTAATTATCTGCAAATGGGGTAAGAAAAAGAATCTGGTTTCCATTTGAATTAAGATTATTTTTCTTATTTTAAGTAAAATGTACTTAATTTAGATTCCAACATTCTCACTATGAAAAGCATTTTTGCAGCGTGAATGAATGAATGATGTATTTAAACATCGCTTACACTTTAAAAAGGGGGAGGACTTTAAAAAGGCTGGACTTCTTGTACCTATGATGCCCATAAATGCTGTCTAGGTAGGGAGCTCACTAGGTTTTGAGACAGACAGTGTCTGGCTAGAGAATGAGTGAGCTGTGTTGCCAACTTGGCAATTTTGTTACTAAATTTAGCAACTTTTCACTCTACCCTAGCAACTTTTTCTTCTAAAAGCACCTAGCAACAAATTTAGCTATTTTTAAAATTTATTTGGCAACTTTAACAACTTTTGATAAGTGACTAAAACGATAAAAAGGCACACATTTTCCATCTAAATCACACAAAATTAGGAAACCAAAGATGCTTAGCAGTACACACATCACATGAATTAAGTTAGCTGCTATTTGCAATAGTTTAATTTAATAATAATAATTGAATATTTGAATAATTGTTCATTTATGATACACCTTGTTAGTAGCTTGTACCTGCGATTGTTGATCAGTTAGTACACTGTAAGAAAACTATCTAGAAAAATGGAAAAGGTACTAGTTATTTTCCAGGACATTATCCGTTATCCATTATTCATTATCCATTGCAACCCGAAAACACAAAATGCAATGCGTAATTTAAAATGCAGGTAAAAAAACCTGTGAAAAATCAATACGGAAAATTCCTTCATATTAACATAGTAGATTGTGCCCTATTTTTATACTAACTAACTGCTAATACACTGCTTAAAACTGTAATTGTTCAGAATGTGTAGTTTTACTAGTTTACTAGCTAATAAAAAAAATTTAATTGTAATTGTTCAAAAATGTAAGTGTTCAATAATTCAATGTTGTATTTAAAAATAGTTATTTATATTTTAATATTATATTACGTTATATTAGTTTATGAACAAATCTAAATTAACACAAAAAATATTTGTTACCCGAGATTTGGTGTAATTTTGCGTCATAATTAAGTAATAATGTCATCGTGCAATGACATCACCATGTAATTTAGCAACTTTTAGCAACAAATGGACCTTCCTTTAGCAACTTCCCCTGAAAATTAGTTGGCAACACTGTAAGTGAGTGAGTGAGTTAGTTTAGTTTGTGTTTGGTACTTACTGGTGGAAGTCTGTTTGAAGGTCCTGAGCTGCTATCATTTTGTCAACATCTTCTGTTTCTTCTGGAGTTTATAAGTGTGTCCACGCTGCAGTAGACAGACAGACCCACACAACTGAAAAACACGCTGCAGCATAAAACAAAACAAAACATATTTGCATGTAAAAACAATAACCACTTATAACAACCACAACGACTCATGATGCAGTTAACGTTACTGAATGCGGTTATGCGTATTTGTGTGAAAGACGTGTGTATATTTATATGATTTTATAATAATAATCAAACATCTGCTGTCAAAAGCATTACTGTAACCTACTGTAATCTAACCATAAAACATTACATAAACTCCATTAATCACACAAAATCTCTATGTATTCGTGTAAAGTGTGAAATTTTATTAATTGTGTTTTTAATGTTGTTTGATTTCCGTAAACACGGGCTAGCATGCTAACATGCTAACGGGCCTCCAGCTCCTCTAAGTCATTAAAACCGCCCCAAACCGACCAAAACAATGTAAAACTCACTGCAAATCCCCATTAAAACTTTACATTTCTTCATACGACGCACATTATAGTGTTTCATTAATTCTCACTATTCAAAGTAATGACTCAAACTGTCTGACACATGAACGACTCTGGGAAATGAATCTCCCGAACGAACTCACAGGAAAATGTCTTTTATTTATTTGATTTCTTCTAAAATCACGGAAATTTACGAAGATCGGCCGCCATTTCCTTCCTCACCTCCCTCAGCGTGAGTCCAGCAGCAGCAAACCCGCCCAGAGCCGCCGCCGAACGGTACCGAACCGGACCGGAGCTCCGCGGTTAAGACATTAAAACATGCTCCAAGTAGAACTGGCTTAGTTCTGTTTGTGTTTCGGAGCTGCAAGAGGCAGTTTGGTTCTGTGGGCGGACAGGAGTAAAAATATAGCCTCGAGAAATCCAAAACACACTTATAACGCGTCCACACACACCCACATACTAGCATCCACACAAACACACCCACACACACACACATCATGGGACTGCATGGCTAATTTTTCTTCTAAAATCACGGAAATTTACGAAGATCGGCCGCCATTTCCTTCCTCACCTCCCTCAGCGTGAGTCCAGCAGCAGCAAACCCGCCCAGAGCCGCCGCCGAACGGTACCGAACCGGACCGGAGCTCCGCGGTTAAGACATTAAAACATGCTCCAAGTAGAACTGGCTTAGTTCTGTTTGTGTTTCGGAGCTGCAAGAGGCAGTTTGGTTCTGTGGGCGGACAGGAGTAAAAATATAGCCTCGAGAAATCCAAAACACACTTATAACGCGTCCACACACACCCACATACTAGCATCCACACAAACACACCCACACACACACACATCATGGGACTGCATGGCTAATTTCTGAACAATTGTTTGTTTATAATGGTTTGTATTTGAATTGAACATACATTAGTTTCTGAATCACAAATTATTTGCAAATAAGTTAGGGCAAATAAATAAATGAGAAAGATGAATATGTCAACCAGATTTGAGGACAATCAAAACCGTTTTATTTTGTCTGCCAATGGAGGTGTAACAAGAAAGATAGATCAGACTTTGACATGGGAAATAAACAGTGCTAACAGAAAATGGTTAAATGTCCAGCTCTCCAGATTACAGAGGCTGATTCCTATGGTGAGATGAAGTAAAAGTCTGCTTTTAAATGAGTCATAAACAAGAAGTGTAAGCGTACATAGTTGCATCTTGCTTTAACACACCTGAAATGTGCAAATCAAGCTGTAGAATGGAAGATCTGTCCAAAGTCTGTGAAATGATGGTGGACAGAGAATCAAGCACAGGCATATAAAAAATAAAAAATAATTAAAAAAAAAGCAATAACAGGATGTTTGGTTTGTTTAGGCAAATAATAAATACATGTTGAGAAAACAATTTATACATAGAAATGGTGATGTAGTTTTTAAAAATAACACTATGCAATATAATATATACCATAACAGGAAAAATATGACTTCCCAGTTCTATAACACACACAGGCACATTATGTGATGCCTTGAACTAACTCACCTGTGCATGTGCACCTGAACAACCAGAGATGAAATACACAAACATCATAAAAAAATTCTCCCTTTCCTGACAATGGTATACAAACAAATGTCTTTTTTCCCCATACATGTGGAAGCATAACCTCATCCCACATTATATTCTGAAGTTTACAGAGTTCCCAGTTTTATTTCTCAGGTCTTAAGTGTCTATAGCCACTCTTACCATCAGAAATAAGCTGAGTGACTCACACTAAACAACCCTGAATCAGATTTTGTTTAATGGATTCTAAACAAACAATTAAGCAAACAAATGAAAAACACTGAGCAACTAAAAAAATGTACATTTACCAATTGCATCCCAAAAACACTTTCAAGTAAAGGTGGCACAGTTTTTGACTATTTCATTTTTTTTTATGACAGATATGCTTCAAGGCACTTTTATAAGTAAAATAAAAAATAATAATATAACAGCAATGCATACATCTTTTACTGACATTAAATAGGCTAAAGCTATTCCTCACAGTATTTACTCACAGAGGAAGTGATGATCATATACATCCAGCAGGGGGCACAATGGTGTTTCTACTGAGATCAGCAGGATTGGCAGTGACTTGACATTTGGCCGATTCCCAATTGGCATACTTGTTTCATGTCTAGTGTATGGAGTAAGACAGGACCACAGAAAAATTACATTTTGATGCAATACTATGATTGGGGGGGGGGGGGGGGG